TCTAATCAAGAACCCCGAAAGGTTACCTACAGTTTGCTACACCTACTTTTTGCTCAATTGTCAGGAATGAGCACTGATTGCTTTTGTAATTAATTTAGAAACAGAAAACATGAGTTCAAATTAATCCTTTGGTTTTCCTACACACAGTTTTTTTGTTGTTTTGTTTTTGAGTCAGAGTCTCACTCTGTTGCCCAGGCTAGAGTGCGCGTGGCATCAACCTAGCTTACAGCACCTCAAAACTCCTGGGCCCTCAAGCAATCCTCCTTCCTCAGCCTCTGAGTAGCTGGGACTACAGCGCATGCGTTGCCATGCCGGCTAATTTTTTCTATACTTTTTTAGTTGGCCAATTAATTCTTTCTATTTTTAGTAGAGACGGGGTCTCGCTCTTGCTCAGGCTGGTTTCGAACTCGACCTTGACGATCCATCCACCTCGTGGCCTCCAGAGTGCTGAGATTACAGGCGTGAGCCACCAGCACCCCACCAAATACACAGTTTTGAGATAGGGAACTGGCGGGCCCTGCTCAATAGTCATAAGCCCCAAACCAAGGTCTCTGATAAAACAAGAGGTGATGGAGAAGTTGGCTAAAACCAGCTAGAACAAGATGACCAGGAAAAAAAACCTCAGGTTACCCTTGAGACTCATTAAACCGATGCTTATAATATTAACATACCAAAAGAAACTCACATACAAATGCCATGGCAACTCCCAGAATTGCCCTATATGGTTTAAAAAGGAGGGATCCTTGGTTTTGGGAAACTGCCCACCCCTTTCCAGAATGTTATGGAATGAATCCTCTCTAGGCTTAACATAAAATTAAATAAAAGGTACAAAATACAGACCCAGAAACTCACAAGGTGCTATTCTCTGTTGCTCTGAGAGATAGTGCCTGCTCTATGGAGGCAGCCACCTCTGTTTTTTTCTTTTCTTACTTCAATAAACTTGTCTTTGCCTTACTCTGTTGGTTTTACTCTTGAACTCTTTCCTGTGCAAAGCCAAGAACCCACTTGATCTTCAGCTTGGCCCCCAGCTTTGCGGGTCCATTTTCTATATCTGTTTGATCTATGTCTGCTATCTAATGCTCATCACATCCGAGTCAGGGATTATAGTCATACTGGTGGGTGGACAGCCCTATTACATGACACACATCATACACACACATGCACAAATACACAGTTACATATAAAGGAATCATACATGTTATCACACATACACTCAAATACATAGTCATATATCACATAGCCATACATAACACACATTTTCCATAACAAAGTCACACTCATCAAAACACTACCCATAAATCACACACTCATAAACATTATTATTAAACACACAATCACTAAACTAACACATTCCTATTCTCATTCATAAAAGTCCTAATTCACAGAGTCAGCATGTACGTGTGGTATCTCAATATACTGTGTCATATATGGAAGAAAATGGCATCTTCCCAAACTCTGGATGGTTTGAAAAGGGGGAAATTTTTTACTCTTTTTCAGGATAGAAATAGAAAACTAACACACACAAAAACCAATTTAATAATAAAATATTTAAACAATAAAATATATAGACACACATTAACATATTCTGTTCCTGGTTCAATATTTACATAAATATTTTCATATTTGTATTACCATCTAATCAAATAGCTTTCCTCAAGCACTGATCTGTGAAGGAGATGTTTTCATACCAGTAGAAATAGGTCTTAGTAGTCCTTGAAACATAGGCTGGGCACGGTGGCTCACGCCTCTAATCCTAGCACTCTGGAGGCCGAGGTGGGAGGATCTCTCAAAGTCAGGAGTTTGAGACCAGCCTGAGCAAGAGCAATATGCCATTCTACTAAAAATAGAAAGAAATTAATTGACCAACTAAAAATATATAGAAAAAATTAGCTGGGCGTGGTGGTGCATGCCTGTAGTCCCAGCTACTTGGGAGGCTGAGGCTGAAGGATCGCGTAAGCCCAGGAGTTTGAGGTTGCTGTGAGCTAGGGTGATGCCACGGCACTCACTCTAGCCTGGGCAACAAAATGAGACTCGGAAGGAAGGAAGGAGAGGAAGGAAGGAAGGAGGAAGGAAAGAAGAAGA